CTTTAAGGTCCGGGGTCGACTCCTCTGTCTCCTGCGAGAGATACGTGTCGACCCGGAGCTCCGCTTAATAAACCTCTTACCTCTTGCGTTTGCATCAAGCTCGGTCTTCTGTGTCTGTGGGTCCGCGCCTTCCCGAGGCTGGAGTTGGGGTTCCCTTTTTGGGATCCTACATGTCTTGGTGTGGGCCTCTTTGGGTTCATCTTGTTTGGTGCTGTTAAGTGAGTCAGGCCCCCAGTGTGGCTGGTTTCTAGGCTCAGGGGCTCATGGTTACTACAGGCCTGTCATGCCACTCGCTACAAGCCACCTCTCTTTTGGTTGTGGCAGGCGTCTCACCAGATCTGGCTATGCTGCCTTGCAGTACCCAGCTGCCTCAGGAGCACAGATGGGTGGAGCTGGCCCCAGGCGTGGCAGCGTATAATTGTTTCAGGTCTTGGAAGGTGGGGCAGATCCCCTTTGTGTCTGTTTGCGATGGCCAGTGGCACAAGTCTGCTGTGGACCCACATGCCCCTCCACCCATGGGCCCACACACCTGAGGGGCCAGCATGCGTGCCTCACCCATGCAGACCCACTTCCCCTGCTGCAGAGGTCCCACATGCCGCACCTGTGCAGGCCCAGAAGGTCACAGTGGGCTTGCGCGTGGGTGGGGCCATTGCCTGGGGCAGGCTGCCTGCCCTGGCTGTACTTGATTGCCTCAGGTGCTCTAGTGGGGGGGGGTAAACCTCCCCCCTGCACTAACAGGCTAGAGGAAGGAATCCAATGGTGGCTGCTGGCCTCTGTGTCGGCTCGACTGAACTGGGTCACAGTAACATCTACCGCCAGTGTCTCGTTCCCTGCGGGGGTGGGCCCAGCTACCTCCTGCCTCTCCAAGATGTACTCTGAGCTTAGTAAGTGAGTCTCTTTTACCAACGGACTAGGCACTTTTCTGTCTGGTGTTTTGTGCTGGTTTTCAGATCGGGTCAATCTGTGTGTGGGCTCTTTAAGAAGTTCTGTAGTTTCTTTCTTTGAAGTTCTGTAGTTTTCCTGGGTGTAGTCCCTGTTGGTTTTCAAAGCCAGGAAAGCCAGGTATTATGGCATCTCCTCTTGGTTGTGCTGAATCTAAGGGCTGGGATGCCTACTCTGGAGCTCATGTCCTCCACTTCTGGAAAAGCTCCGTACCTTTGAGATGTTCTGGCCATTAAGGTCTGTGGCTAGGGTGTAGCTTTATTCCCTCAGCAGGGCTGTATTTCTGCCTCTTCCACCCCTGTCAGTGTTGTGCCTTGTTTGGGGGGTTCTTCTTATCCGGTTTACACATCTCTCTGGGAGGAAATTGTTCCAAGTAGATGTAGATTGCTGTGTCTGTGGGAGGAGGTGTGTTCAGCATCCTCCTATGCCACCACCTTCCAAACTCCTCTGCCTCAGGATTTAAAAGGATAGAGCCAGGTGGGTTCAAGATGGCTACATAAGAGGATAGAGTCAGAATTTCCATCCAGGAGTACTGTCATTCTTTTCTACATGGTCCAGTGATCTGACTTTCCTAGAATGTAAATGAAACCAGAGAATGAATCTCGGCCTAAACGCCTACATATCTGAATCTGTCTTTTCTCTGTTTTCAGGTCAGGATCGCAGCGAAGCCACTTTGATAAAGAGGTTTAAAGGTGAAGGGGTCCGGTACAAGGCCAAACTGATCGGGATTGATGAGGTTTCCGCAGCTCGGGGAGACAAGTTATGTCAAGATTCCATGATGAAACTCAAGGTGCTGTGCAAACATTTTATTTTAAATGTCACAGGTTTAATATGACTGAGATAAAAAAGTGATTACAATCATTATGGTAAAAAAATTTTATTTGTGTGTTGGTAAATTACTTGGTTCACTGATGAATCCCTGCATTTATTCATTGGGGAGAGAGTTCAATCGTTCAGCAAATGTTTATTGAGCACCTATGGTGTGGAGGTATTTTGTTAGTCCCTGTTTTATAATTTTTGAGTGTATCACATTTTATTCAATTTTATCTTCGTTGTTCAGTGCTTGCAAAAATGAAAGTACAAAATCATCAAATTGTGTAGTCCCTTAGATTTTATGAATTTTCACTACTTTGTTATTTTTTAAATAAATTTTATATATTTTACCATATGATAAATATGGCAAAAGATGCTATATTAAGATAAAAGCTGATTTTATTAATTTTTGTAATTTCTACTAATGTCCCTCAGTTTATGATAAAGGGAAAATATGTATTAAAGTAATATATAACTATATATTGGGATTTGGAGATATCACAAAGAGATTTCTGATTTTAAAGCTTTAAAGAAAACTTCATTGAGAAATCTAAGACAGAAATTGGAAAAATTTTAAATATAGAATATAAGAAAATTATGTTGTTAAATTGCCTTTTTTTGTGTGTGTGTGTGTGTGTGTGAGGAAGATCAGCCCTGAGCTAACATCCATGCTAATCCTCCTCTTTTTGCTGAGGAAGACCGGCTCTGAGCTAACGTCTATTGCCAATCCTCCTCTTTTTTTTTTCCCCCAAAGCCCCAGTAGATAGTTGTATGTCATAGTTGCACATCCTTCTAGTTGGCTGTATGTGGGACGCGGCCTCAGCATGGCCGGAGAAGCGGTGTGTCGGTGCACGCCCGGGATCCGAACCCGGGCCACCAGTAGCGGAGCACACGCACACACACTTAACCGCTAAGCCATGGGGCCGGCCCTAAATGGCCTTTAAAAACATACAAAAAAGAACATTGTTTGTTCCCAGATTCTGGTCTTCATATAGTCTATGTTTCTTTTCATAAAAAAATGATGTAAATTATTAGGAAAGAATCAAATAACAAGAAGTCTACAAAACATCTTATGCATTTAAGACATAAAATTATTTTCCTGATTATACAATTCACAAAATGTTCATTGTAAACTATTTTGAAAATACAGAAAAGTATGAGGAGGAAAATTGAAATCATCCACAGTCCCATCACAAAAAGAAAATCAGTGTCAACGTATTTGTGTGTAATTTACAGTCTCTCTTTGTATTTTTATATACATTATGTGAATTATACATATATATGTAACATATTTGGAATTACTATTTATACAGTTTTATCCTATTTTTTTCCTCATCTAATAGTATAAGCATTTTTTTCCATATCTTCGAATAGTCCCTGAAGACGCAACTTGGTCAGAACTTGGTCAGTGTAATTTTTTGAATGTAAGAAAAAAATAAGACTGGCCAAGTGCCTGAAAGTATTAAGTGGGACAATATGTGTAAAACTCCCTCTACGTTATCTTTTCTTTCATACATGTTTAATAAATCACAGCGATTATTTTTGTTTCTACTATACAAATTTTCTCAGCAGTTTAACATGATTATCAGATGCTGTCTTCCAAGAGTACGGCTGTAGCAATCATCATTTTTAAAAACTGTTATTTTCTAAACTGTGTATCCATTACTTTCTCTTTTTTTAGCTGTTACGTAAGCAAACTTTATTTTAATAGTTATCTATTATAAGGTGTATTAGAAAAAGGTATAAAAGACATCAAAATCATGATTTCACAGATTTTCACCTTGGAAGAGGTTACGATATCCTTTTTTTTTAATAATTAAGCAATTTATGAGATTTTAGGGTAGTCCAGTAATGAGCCCTCTTTTTCTGTCAAGTTCAAATCTGATTGATGAATAGACAAAGGAGTCTGACAGCAAGAATTCTAAATTCCAGGTTTATGACTCATAAATGCTGGAATGGAGGACGTGATGAGATACACAGCCACAGTGAGCATCCTTAAAGAGACAGGCTATTCCAGTTGGTTTGTGGGGGAGTTGGATAACTGCAACCATCTGTGGTCCCTCGCCTCCTCCCCTGCCCCAGAGCAAAACCTGTGATTCATGCATGAAATCAGAGCAGAATGCATCCTCTCTACCAGCGGGCAGATGGCATCGAGAGAACCCAGAAGAGGCTGAGCCATGCGTGCTCAGCTTCTCTCCAAACTCCCCAATCAGATAAAGCCACGCCTACCTTCCCAAAGAGACCCTAGTCAAAGATGGGGGTAAAGGCCAGGATCTTGATTCTTGCTGCAGTTCCTCCTTACTGAATATGAGGCCAGGCAAATGGATATTTGCTCCTGACAAATATTAATTAAAAGACATTAAGAAAAGCTCCAGTGACCTGGTTCTCACCCAGAGCCACAAGTCTGCTGAGGAGGAGAAAGGTAGATAGCCATTCACCAAGCATCTGTCACCGAGCGCCTCATTGGCTAGCTGCCTTCATGGAAATGTTGAGGTCTAAGTGGATATGAGGCAGGAGACAGCCTATGCTTCCTTAAGGTTCTCCCTCAGGATTGATGTTGGGCCAAGCTAGCTGGACTAGGCCTGGTGATGACTGTCGACCTTGCGTGTGTGTGTGTTACCTGCAGTGAAGTGCTCCGTCTGTCACCCCTCGTAACTGTGAGGTCCCCAAAGCCCTAAGAGTTTGTCCTACTACAACACACTCCTGTCATATGTGCTAAACTTGTTGAGAGGTTCTTGGTTCCCAGACAATTGTGTTTCATTATTTGCAAGTTCCCGAAAAGAATGTTGACATTTCAGCTCCCAGTGGTTTTTCTTTAGGAAACACAGAAACATAAACGATCGATTCTCCATTTGGTCCCCTGCCTGGGAAAGGAAGAGACAGAGAAGTACAAAATGCCTCTTAGCCTTGCAGAAAGGCCCACTTGTTCATGTTAGGCCATAGGAGAAAAAAGAATTCTGTTTTCCTTTGCTGGACTCTCTGAAACTGGTGCCTTTTCCTGTTTTAGCGAGTTTTCTCTTGAATTATAGAAATATGAGAGGGGATTCATGTTGTGAACGTGAGTGGGCGATTGCCTGTCCGCCAGCAAAACACCCTCATCATCATATTTTAATTTAGAGTCAACAAAGCACTTTCGCGTATATTATCTCTTTTGATCTTGTGAGATAGGTATTAGCCTTCCTGGTTTGTTTTTGTTTTTGTTTTTTGTTTGTTTGTTTGTTTTTGAGGAAGATTGGCCCTGAGCTAACATCTGTTACCAATCTTCCTCTTTTTTTCTTTTTTCTCCCCAAAGCCCCGGTGCATAGTTGTATATCCTAGTTCTGGGTCATTCTAGTTCTTCTATGTGGGACGCCACCTCAGCATGGCTTGATGAGTGGTGAGTAGGTCCACACCCAGATCCGAACCGGTGAACCCCGGGCCACCAAAGTGGAACCAAAAACTTAACCGCTATGCCACAGGGCTGGCCCCTAGCCTCCCTGTTTTGTAAATAAGGTATAAGAAGTTCATAGAAGGTAAAGGATTTGCCCCAGAACCTTTGTTTAATCTGTGATAAACCCAGAATTCAAACTTAAATCTCCAGATGTCCAGTGTTCAATAAGAAATAGTTTAGTGCTTAATTATATTCTGTTTTGTATCTGCATTTAATTTATCTTGGTTCCAGTACTAGATTTTAAGCCCCTACCAGTAAGCTACTACCCAATAGCCACACGTCATTGACTTCCAAAGTAGTCAACTTTCAGAGACATTGGGCAATGGTGGTGGTTGAAGCTATGGGAGAGGGTGAGATCTCCCAAAGACAGTGCTTAGAGGGCTAATCACAGAGCCCTGAATATGTCAGTCAGGTCCTGTAAGAAACAGAGCCCACCCTGGCTTGGTGAGATGAGGACACTTTAATGAAGGAGCTACTTACAAAGGGTAGACAAGGTTAAGGTAGCAAACAAGGGCTGGTGAGGCTCCCAGAAACGAGCAACAGTGGGAAGCTGTTTCCACCCCAGGAAGAGTGTATTTACTGGAACCTAGGGAGAGCAGGATTGAGGAGGAAGTCCCCTCCCTCACCAAGCAAAGATGTAGCTACTGCCAGAGATGTAGTAGGGTGAAGGATGAGAACGAGGTGGGAGGAAATACCCTCACCTCTCTCTCCTTGCACCCTCTGATCTCCTGCCAGTGTCTCGCGTTGGTGGGATCCAACTGGAAGCCAGAGGGCAGGAAGCTCAGAAGACCAGAGAATGCAGTCCACAGGGGCCAGTATCTGGGCACTAAGCGGGGCGGAGAAAGATATTTGTATTCCTCTTTTTAACTGGGAAAAGTGAAACTTAAAATGAGGTTTTTTCCCCAAAGATCCTATAGTTGGTAACTAGTAGGGCTGGGATTGGAGACCAGGTTTAGTTCATGGAGCTTTCTGGAATAGCATTCTAGCTTTTCACCCATTCATGCCTGAAGCCTGTTGTGTTGACACATGTGCTTTACCTCTTCCATGAGATCACAGTCATCCCGCCACGTGCAGGCACCATGCTGGTGAGGTTTCTCAAGGCCCTTTCCTGGGCATCATCTTATCTGGTTCTCACAGCAACCCCTGAGCTGGACGGGGCAGCCTGTTAATTCTGCCTGACATGCCTGACCCATTCTCTGTGTGTCAGTTCCTCCATCAAGACACTGCCTATGTGTGCCTCCCTGAACGATGCCTGTGTCAATCATTTCGCAGAGCGCGTGGTGTAGCTTAATAATATCAACGTGACTACCAGTAATAATGGTTACTGTTATTTATTGAGCTCTCCTTGCATGCTGCATACAGTGCTAAGTGTGGTATGTGCATAGTTCCTTTCAATGTCCCAATACTTTTGTAAGGTAAGGAATATGATTATTCTCATTTTAGAGTTCCTCTTTACTCCGGAGTCTGGGAGCTGGTGGTTCCACTTAGCTATTTTCGGGATATTTTTGACATATCTGTAGTATATTATGTAGTTTTTTTTTTTTTTTTTTTTTAATCTACACTTCCCAAAAGGCTGTTAGAGATCATTACAGCAGAAGGAACCACAGTATTTGAATCTGAAAGATCACTGCTGAATTCCCTCTATGTCTTATTAGTTCCTTGAGGTTTGGGGAGGTCACTTGACTCCCTGACTTTATTGTTTCCTTATATGTAAAGTGAGAGAGAGAATTGTTACTTCCCAGGATCGTGATGTGGGCTAGGTTCTGTGACATGTAAGATAACTTCTAGCATGTAGTAGGTACCCAAGAAATGTTTGACTCTCTAATTTCCAGGTTTCCAACAGTGACTTACTAGGTCAGGTGGCTAATATTTGACACAGAGGCCCGGGCGGCAGCTACATCCACATCTTATGACTTCCCAACCAGAGCTGTCTCCTGGACTTGTGTTAGTTCTTGCAATAGCAATGAATAATCTTGTGAGGAGATGAGACCCTGAGGCATGCGGTCTGTTGGCAGGCTTGCTTGGACTTAGTGTAATCTTTCAGAGCTTGACTCAGGGTCCTGTCTCACAGGAGAAACGTCCTTGATAAAATTGGAGTTTTATTTCCGTAAAGATAGCACTGTGTGGATAGTCCTTCTCTCTCTCGTTTGTCATGCAAAGCTACCACCAGCAGCCCCAAGCAGAAATGCTCCTGGAACATGCATGTTTCTCTTTCCATCCCTTTTTATATGTAGCCATCCTCTCCCAGGGAGCTTTTTGATAGCTACTCGGAACCAGGAAGCAAAGGGGGGTGGGGATAGGATTACCTAGTCAGCACTGCTGTGTGCCCGGAATTATTGCTATTTGATGTTGCAGTAGTTCTAAGAGCCAGGGACTGTTGAGACTGTTTTGGAGATGGAGACATTGAAGCTAGTCTTCCTGACCAAAGGTGCAACCCTTTCCCCACCATGTGCAGTGATGTTCTCACCTAGGAAACAAGGAGGAGGGGCACCCCTCCTCTTGGACCAGTCCTTCCAATCTTTCCATTTATGACGGGGCTACTTCTTGTTCTCTCTTTTCAGTATGGCTGGATACCTGAGGCTGAAGGTGAGGGTGTGGAGGGGTGGCAGCATAAGTTATTTTACTCCAAATCCAGCCAAGAACACAGATTTCAAAGTCAAATTTTCCTAGGTATGAATTCTGGCTTGTCCACTACCCGAGTGAGGGAAAGTCATTTCACCTTTGTGAATGCCTGCTTTATGCCCAGCTCTGTTCTGGGTACTGGGCACATAGAACAAATGAAACAAAGTCCCATGCGTAATTGAGCTTTTGTTCTATTGAGCAAAGGCAGACAGTCAACAAATGAATATATAATACGTCAGTCAGGTGGTAGAAAGTGCCGTGAGGAACAGTGAAGCAGGGAGAAAAGATGGGGTGCAGTTGGGCATGGAGCCGGTGTTACCTTGGCTTAAGGGATCAGAGGAGGTGTCTCTGATAGGGTGGCACTGAACAGAAATAAGAATTACTTCTGGGATTGCAAAGACATACATTGTCCATTCCTCCATGTCCTGAAAAGCACCCCACAGTGAATCCATGGGAAAGCAAGCAGCACACTGAGGAATCTAGAAACCTTGGAATGGGGGGAGGTGGGTAAAGAGACAGAAGACTTAGCTTTGGGGGTGAGTCACTCTCTTTAACTCTTTAGAGGGCAGTCATTGGACGAGGCATCTTATGTCAAAGTGTAGCAGCCCTGAGGGGCTGAAGGAGGGAGTGCCCTCCGGGTTAGTTTCGGCAAGAGATTTCAGCCTGCTAGAAAGAGGACACAGTGGAAAGGAATAGGACCCGCTCCTGCACTGACAGTCTAGACAGCGGAGTTGTAGTCTCAGCTTTTTTTTACCAACCGCCTGCAACATCTCGAGACTGTCCACCCAACCTTCTGGGCATCATTTTTCTCATCTTGTCAGTTGCGAAATTTGGACCAATTAGTTTTAAGGTTTTCTCTGGCTCTAACATTCTGTACATCTGTGAGTGCGTAAGAGATGCTTGAGAACGAATGGGCGACTCATGAGGGAGTGAATTTCCTACTATAAGGTACGCACACAGGAACTGGACCACAAACTTTAAGGGACAGTCATTCATTTACTAGAAGAAATGAATTTTTATTACATCACTACAGTGTACCAGGCATTGTGCTAGGTACTTGACACAGATTTTCATTTCATTCTCCCATCATGCAAGACAGGAACTTGAGGAAGTGGAAATCTCTTGAGAGATTTAGTGATTTGTAAGATCACAGAGAACCAGGAGTATAATCCTGATATTCTGATTCCACAGAATATTTCCAATACCCAAAGGGAGGATAATCCAATAGCCTCCAGAGAATGCCCCTTGCTTCTGCCTTCTGGTCATACCCATTGCTGTTGTAGGGGAAGAGGGAGAATCCCCCTCTGCCCTTTCCCTTAAGGTTCTTATGGCTGGCCAAATAATTAACAAGACAGGTTAGCAGGAGAAAATAATACCAAGTTTAGTAACATGTATACATGGGAGAAAGCAGGGACACTGCATTTCTCAACACAATAGCAGAAATTCTCGTCTTAAATACCATGTTCAGCTAAGGACGAAGGAGGATGTTGGGGGTGGGGGAAGTCAGTTATAGGAGATTACCACTAAAGCGCAGTAAACAAGAGTAAGGTTATTATGCAGATTTAAGGCCTTACTTTCCACATTGATAAGTTTCCAGAAATGAGGTCATCCCCCCTCTTCCCAATACAGAGAGGGAGACACCTTTACAAATGGAGATTTCCCTTATAAACGTAAATGTTTGTCTGGCAACTCCTTGCAGGGCCATCCAGAGAATGTGGCCAGAGAGACAGAACTTCCCATAAGATGGGCTTGTTGGTGCCTTTTCTATTGTAACATCTATTTTACATTATATTACAGCCATCAGATAGAAGATCTGTCCCAGGAAGGAGTTACTATGTCAAATTCTTTAGGCAGTTAGTGGGGGAGGTCAAATGTCCCTCAGAGAAAACAGTCAAGGTAAAGAGATAGACTTCAGGGTGTCCAAATCTTGATCTCCCACACTGTCGACCACCGGCCATTCTCTGAGACTAATGTAGAGCACTTGCTGTTATGAGAACAGCACAAACTACTTTTATCTCCTGGAAATATGAAATAATTATTATTTTAGACTTTTCTGCTCCTAAAAGCCCAGAGCCATAACTGCGGAGAGTTGGGCTTAATCTCGCCCTCTCTGGAGGCTCACAGTGATGAGGGGCTAGAAGCCTTGACACACCTAAGGCAGAGTCAGCAACAGTCCTGGAGGGTAAACCCCTGACATGGCCTTACCCTCTGAGTTGTACCCTAATATGAAGCCCATGCTTACCTGCCACTGGCCACCACAGAGGCTAATTAAAAAAGCACATGTCTTAACTCTTAACTTAATCATATCAACTTTGGGGGACTCTGGATAGCGTAGTCATGTAACAGTAATTTACTGAGTTCCTCCTGCCCTTCTGGGCACTAGGGACAGAGCAGTGAGCAGAGTAACATCCCCACCTTTTGTGACATTGAGCTTCTAATTGACTTATCTTCGGTTTATAAAACAGTTTGGAAAGTGGGGAAATAAAGTCCTGATAAATGGAATGCATTTGATAAGTACTTTCCTCAAAAGCACAGAAAGGTTAGGGAAAAGGGTAGGGGAAAATACAAATGTCTGTGGGAAAAAATTGCAAACCATAGGCATATAACTATGGTGATCATATGTTTCCAGACAAAACTGAGACGTGCAGCCTGGCAATAGTTTTATTTTCTTTCTAATCTCTAAAATTGATTCATATGAAAACTTTTTTGAGAAATATAAAAATAAAATCATATTAGGAATATATTCAGTGGCACACCTTTATTGAATAGATTAAAATCATGTCCAATACAAAACCCAGCAAAGATATTGATAAGAGGACCATATGGTGTTTATCTGGGGATCACCAATTCTGAGCCGAGTATCTAGGCACAAAGGCATTCTGTAAATCTTGATTAGTCAAATGAATTGATGTTCAGATACCTATTTATACAACGTTAGAACAGCTAGGATATATATTACTCTAAAACATCAAGAAGACGCGAGCACATCTGGTAGGGAAACGTGGAAGGGGCGAAGGGAAAGGAGTGTGCATGATTGGTAGCATTGGTTGATGGTATCTGACATGCCTTTGGGACCAGAGGGAATTTTCAAATGAAAACACTGAAGTAAAAACCATGTCCTTCCTTTCAACAGGGCGTTGTTGCTGGCGCTCGTTCCAAAGGAGAACACAAACAGAAAATCTTTTTAACCATCTCCTTTGGAGGGATCAAAATCTTTGATGAGAAGACAGGGGTAAGTAAAAGAATCACATGGCATTGTGAAATTGAATCCATTGACAGGTGTGCCCTTAAAAGCCTCTACTCTCTGGGCAGGAATATCAAACAAGCATAAAAACACATAAAGCAACTGATAAACTTGATCAACTGTGATCGTCCATCAAAGGGAGGCTCTTCCCTGACTTGGCCGCAGTGTGACTGCACCGTGTTTCTTATAGTGTAATTGTGATAAAAGTGTCACATAGTTCTGGTAATCTAATGGGAGATTGATGAGCTTTGAAGAGCGATGGGTAATGTGACAGTTTAAGTTAAATTTCTTTGTGCGTTGGCAACTTTAATGACATCTGTCCTAGCCGGAGACACATGGAGGTCTTTTGACTCGGTCAGAGCGTCCAGACCCTCTTAAGTTGAACCTGTGGCACCTTGCAATTGCTGTAATCAAAAAGAATAAATGGAGTTTTCAATCTCAAAAAAATCTGTCACTGACCAGGAAATGTAAGGGCTGATAATGTTTGTTGAACCCACCAAAGAATTGATTTGTGTTTTCATCAACCTCCCAGGGGCAATTAGCTCCCAGATTTATCCCCAGGGCTTGCCTGACATTGTCCTGTTCATTGATGGTAAGGGAAAAACAGAAAAACCTTCTATGATCTGTTTTGTCAAGAGAGTGGGAGTCAAATGGACGTATTTTTCCTTTTATTTATTCAGAGCTTTACAGCCTGTAAAATACCTCCACATATACCACCTCCTTTCAACTTCACAAGATAATTTATCAAGCACTGTATAAATAATACTTAACTAGCCAATTTACTTAAATTGAGTCATTTTGCATTATTATTTTCTCCCCTTTGTGTGACTCATATTAGGATACCCTATAGGTAGTAGGATGATAGCAGTAAAAATGGGTTTTCTTGAAGAAAAGTTACTCCTGAATAACTAGTAATAGAACAGATATTGGTACACCCATGTTCATAGCAGCATTATTCCCAAATAGCCAAAAGGTGGAAGCACCCCAAGTGTCCATCAATGGATGAATGGATAAACAAAATGTGGTTTTACATACAATGGAATATTATTGAGCAATAAAAAAGAAGGAAGTTCTGACATATGCTACAACATGGATGAACCTTGAAGATATTATGCAAAGTAAAATAAGCCAGTCACAAAAAGACAAATTCTGTAGGATTCCACTTATATGAGTTATCTGGAGGAGTCAAGTTCATAGAAATGGAAAGTAGACTGGTAGTTGCCAGGGCCTGGGGGGAGGGGCGATGAAGGGTTAGTGTTTAATGAGCACAGAATTTAAGTTTGGGAAGAGGAAAACAGTGCCAGTGATGGGTGGCTATTATGGTTACACAACACTGTGAATGTACTTTATGCCACTGAACTGTACACTTAAAATGGTTATGATGAGAAAATTGTTATGTATATTTTACCACAATAAAAAATCACTAGTAATAATAACTCCCATTTATTGAGTAACTACTATCTACTAGGTACATATTAGTCACTTTATATACATTATTCAGTTTTGTCTTCACAACAGTCTTGTGAGATAATAATAATAGTTATTTCATCGAGCACATAATATGTGCCAGACATTGTTGTAAGCCCTTGATGAGTACCAACTCATTTAATCCTGCCAACAACCCTGTCTCCATTTTCTAGTTGAAGATATTGAGGAAGGAAAAGTATATGTAACTTGCTGAAAGTAAGTGGTGGTGGAGACAGGATTAGAACCCGGGCAGTTTGGCTCATGAGTCTTTTTACTTAACCACAATACCTGTTCTCTCTCAGGATAAGTGACTTTCCCAAGTTCACCCAGCGTGTAGGCAGCAGAACTGGGATTTAGCCTTCAGGCCTGAGTCAAAAATCAATGCAGTTGACCTCTCTGTGTAGAGAAAGATGGGCCTACCTGGGGATGCCTTGGTAGAAGGGAGTTCAGAACGAGGGCAAGAGCATCTGTAGTAAAGGAGCTTGAATGCAGCGAGATTAAGAGCCTAATGGAAGCCTCTCCTGCCCTAATAAAAATAGGGTTTCTGAAGCCAGGGAAGTTTTCCCTTTTCCTGGGCAGACTATAGTTTGGAGACCTGTGCTCAGTTTTGAACTTCACATTTTAAAAAGATTACAAGCAAAGCAAAGAATATCCTGATGAGGGAGACCAGGGCAGCTGGGAGACTGGAGACTATGCTCAACCAAGGCTTCTCAACACAGATGTGGCCTCCTGGGCTCCTGGGTGATACGTGGGAGGCAGAGAGCTTTGGGCTTGTAGAAACGTGGAAGATATTATTGATTCCTTGGTATCGTTTATGGTAGGAAGCCAAGTAATGTGGGTCAAGCCTTTCACGATGATTCATATGCCCCAATATTATGTCATCATCTCTAGTCTCCTCCAAATTCCATGCCTGCCCATCACCATGACAACTGGCGTAACCAAAGGGACAGGAGTGAGACAGAGTATCAGACACTTTATCTTGTCCCCGGGGCCATGTTTTGGGACTTTGTTCTTCCATCATGTACCCCACCATCAAATAGGCTGTGCCCAGACAGTTCAAGTCGTAATCACCAAATTGTAACTGATGAGAAGAGGCGGTTTAAATCCTCACTCAAGGGTCACTCAACTGGCCACAAAGAATGATACCACCAAACTTTATGACACTGTTTTTGATTCTTTAGCTGGATACAAAGAGAACAACAGTAAAATCATTATTTCAGCCCAAAGCCGTTCGGCTTTGTGGGAAAAAATGTCAGATCCCTAGTGGAGAATCAGGATGAAGGCAGAGTTAAATGAGTTGTGTGTGCTTAGTCTACTCCAGTTCTGTTTGATTAACATTAGGCCTCTGTAGCATCCAGCTTCTGCAACCTTAGCTTGCTAATACGCCTCAACAGGAGTCTGGGGAAAACTGGTGGAGAGGATTGAACTAAGCCTGAAGTAGAGACAATAGGGGACAGAGCACCCCCATATTATAATGTTCATTTCTCCAAAACGTTGTCTAGTAGAATAAGGAGCTGACTTGTTCTGTGTGACTCAAGGATTAGAACCAAGACCAGGTGATAGAAGTTTCTAAGAAGCAGTTTTAGTTTATGAGTAAGAATTTTCTACCAATCACAGCTGTTCAACAGTTAGATGGACCACCTTCTGTGCAAACGAGTTCACCATCGCTAGGAGTATTCAAGCAACAACCATATGATGAGGAAATTGTGGAAGGGAGTCAAGTAGAGGATGAGTTATTGAACAAAGTCACGTCTAAGTTGATTACTGAGACTAGTTTTAAGATTCTGTTTCTCCCTTAAAGTCATCCCCATTGATGTGGTTTATCTTCAGCTAAATGGAGGTTTTTCAAAACCTCTGCTGGAGATTATGAGCAGGAACAGTTTACTAAACCTTTGTCATTGCCCAGCAGGGGACTGACTGAATTGTGCAGGATAGGAGTCTAAGTGAAGTATTTGTCCTACATATCAAAGAAATTGAAAACAGGGTCTTTGTCATTTGGAATGACAAATCTTCCTTGTTTATCATATCTAAAGTGTTCCTGCTCAAGCTTGACTGCATTTTTTTTTTTTTTGCAAACTAAGAAAAGAAACATTTGCAGAACGTGACAATAGCTAGAATTTTAAAATCCAAAAGCTGTCAAAAATGTTTTGATCCCAATTAAAAAGACCCTTTGCAGCAATTTACACCTTGTCTTGAATTTCAAAGTGTTCTTGATTCCAATCTTGATATGAGTAAATTTTGTTTTATTATTAGCATGTTTCAGGGAATAAATCAATATTAAAAGCTGTTCATATTTTCAGATACCTAGGTATTGCTAATATATCAAAGAGATCAGTGGAAATGCAGAAAATGTCATATATAAACTTATCGTTATTAGTAATAGTAGGAGTGGTAGCAAATTATGAGTAGTAATGGTTTTATGTCAGTAAGTTACTAGATGCTCAGATTAGACCAATGGACACCAAGGCAAGAGCCATGTCATCTTCGTTTCACAGATAAAGAAACTGAGATTCTGGGAGTGTCCCAGACTTGGCCGTAGACTCAGAACAGACCTTCCAACTCCAAATTCTGTGTCTTTCCAGGGAAACTCATTGACTCCCTTCTCTCCCCATTTATGATTTTATTCCATAGAATTATTATAATTTTATGCCATAAAAAAATCATAAATATTGCAGGACCCTAAAGATAAGTCTGTTTCTCAGGAAGAGGGCAGTGGTCTGCATCACCTTTTCAAGATGATGCAACATCTTGTTGCCACAATCACGTATGAATTTTGCTGGTTCGTTTGGTTCAGCCGACACTGATCAGGCACTGCTGTGTGCACCATTCTAGGTATATTGCAACAGTTCCATGAAGTAGATGCTATTATTATCACTGTTTTGTAGATGAGAACACTGAGGTCCAAATAATGTAAGTCATGCAGCTAATAAGTGGCAGAGCTGAGATTCAACCCAGGTAGTCTGGTCCAGAATCCTTGATGCTAGTAAGATATTACTACTAATAACATACCTGTCTCAGTCTGTTTGGGCTGCTATAACAAAAATACCATAAACTAGGTTGCTTATAAACAACAAGCATTTATTTCTCACAGTTCTGGAGGCTGGGAAATCAGAGATCATGGCCCCAGCAGATTCAGTGTCTGATGAGAGCCCACTTCCTCACAGCACCTTTTTGCTGTGTCCTTACATGGTGGGAGGGGCAAGGATGCTTTCTAGGGCCTCTTCTTATAAGGCAACTAATCCCATTCAAGAGGGCTCCACCCTTATGACCTACTCACCTCCCAAAGGCCCCACCTCTTAATACCATCACCTCAAGGGTTGGAATTTCAGCATATGAATTTGAGAGGGACATAAACATTCAGAGGATAGCAATACCAAATTTTATAAATTATTTCCTTTTATATATATTAGAGCAGATTCAATATTATCCCTGTCTTATTGTCACCACTATTCAGTTTCCTTCTGATAAGCTTTCCTGAGTGAAGATATAAAAGATGGAGTTACAACTGGGACTGTCTTGTG